ACCGCATAGCGACATCAGCCAATCGACACAAATTGCGCTGCGCCAAAACTTCGAAACGAGTCTCCAACTGGACGGCTCGCTTAGCCCATTGCCCCTATAGGCCACAATCCGTTGAACGCCTCGGTACGACAGTATCGCTGCTCGCTTTCGCCATGTCGTCCCTACCCCGCTCTTCGTGCCTCCGCTATAGTACCCCGAACCCTTCTTGACCTGGGCTGTTCACGTATTGAATCCCCGATAATCAGCCCACACACCGTCGACGACCACGGAGCTGAGGGCGTGGGCCTTGGTGGTAGTAGCGAGTATCCTAATCAGAGCTCTGAAGGCAGAAGAAGAGAAAGGCTCCCTAAAGAACAGCCACCTATAGTGCAAGCTCCACGACAAAGTCTCTAGCCCACCTCTCTACGGGTTCCTAAGGGTCAAGCCCACACATAGACCGTTGACTCCGCTGGTCTGCAACAAGCCTGCAGCGCGAGCCTCGGTAAAATAGGCCCCGACATAGATCTTGGTGGTAGCAACCAAGTGAAAGCCTTGAAGGCCAAAGTGGAGACGAGCCCCGCGAGCATACTCACGCCCAAACCCTTTTCCACAAACTTCGGGGAACTAGAGGTACTCCTATAGAACGTCTCCGCCACTCAAACTTTATTCTCATGGGCCGATTCACCCACGGCCTCGCATGCACGTAGATCTCCTCGGTCCTTGTCTCAAAAATGAATATGATAGGAACATTTTGTCAACACCTCGACACGCCAAAATCCGAACGGGCCCGCCAAAACGGAGGCGCGCACTCAAGGTCCTCGACAACCGCGACCGCCTCTAAATCCAACGTCGCATCCAAGTCAAGGGACACCTGGCGCAAAAAAAATAATAATAATAATAATGGTAAATAATAGAAATATTTAGAGACTTTTCGTCAGAATGGCAAACGAGGAAAAAGAAGCCACTAGTCCCGCTCTAATGCCGCCGACGGGAACCCAAGGGGAATAGCCCCTTCGGGCCCTTCACGCTACTCCAATACCCGCGCACTGTCGTTGCTCGATTTCGATCCCTGAACCTCCCGAATGAGAGTCCAATACCGAAACCAATAGTGCTAGGCCCAAGGCTGGGTCTCGTACCGACTAACCTCTAAACAAACAAGTATTTGCGCGACACGCGGACCTACCGACACACTTCAAGCCGTACTGTTATTGATGTCGTCGTCCGCACGTACGCACAAGTCACAGGCAAGCGCATCAATCAAACGAGACAATCTTATTAATCCTAGTTTAAACAGAAATAAAATCATCAATAATAAAAATCACACGCGCCTCGAGCCTGCGTGCCCACACACTCTCTGCCTTAGTCAACCATCCTGTCAACGTAAATTACAGACGCAGCCGCGCCTCGCGCGGCATGCCTAGACTTCACATCAAACTTACTTTTCTGTCACTTGCAAAAACCAGGGCGGATACCCTTGTAAGGGTATTCTTACCGACAACGAAGGTGTTGTCTGTTTGGCAGCACAACAATGATGGTACGCTGAAGGTGGACCTTGTTGCACAAGTTCTTCGGCGTGAACAACGTTTTGAAGGGAAGTGCTGCAAGAATTGTCGCGCGGCATCAACGTTTTTTTTGTTTGTGTGTTGAGGTGTTGTTCGATCGGCGGCACGACACTCGCAGCATTTTCAGTGGAGTCACGCTGCAAAATGTTGGGTGTGCTGGTGATATTATTTTTGAGGGGCAGTGCTGTCAAAAGTTTGCGACACAGTGGCCCTTCCATTGAGGTGTGTGAGCAGGTAGCGATGTTGTTGGACAACTGTGGCTCCGGTTTTGACGGCGCGGCAAGCAGCAGTCCGACATTTAATTTTTTAGGTGAGCAGTGGTGGTGGACCATTCCAGCGTGGGACTGGTGCTGGTGTAGATTTGGGACCATGCAATTTGGAGCGCGGACTGGCTGATCTACTTGGAGCAAGTGCACGTGGCGTTAGTCATTGGCTCGCAACAACCACGCATAATTAGAAATGTATGAAGACAAGTATGTGTGTCTAAAGGGACTAGAATTTCATTTCATTTCCCGCTTGGTTGAAGCCGTTCTAGTCCACCGGCGTACGCTTGAACATATGGTGGACCAGAGCTGTTCAAACTGGCCCTGAGTGCACGTTCTTTGGTTTCAGCCTGCCTCTTCCCCAACCTATCATCGAATCATGGACAAAAGCCATTCAAACGACTGAGAGATGTGTAGTTGCTTGAGAGGCCTTACAATGCAGCGGACGAGGCGCTGCAACCTGGGCAGGATGTGGACGATTAGCATTCACTCTGAGCACAAGTTTGTCTGATCAGCCTTTGCTTCTTACTAGGTGGGTGAGAGGTGGGTTGAGGGTTCAAATCCCTTTTTCCGCTCATCAGCTTCCTTTGCTGCCTGGCCAAGAAAAGAATGGAGCTGACACCGGATGAGCCAGATGCTGCAAGTGGAGGCTGATAAGCCGCACTTGTGCTCAGAGTGGCTGCCAGTCGTGCAAGTGCAGCACAGGTGGCAGAACTTAGTGTCTGGTGCACACACAGGCCTGCAGCACTGAAAAAATCATCGCACAATTGTGGGCAACAGACTCAGTATGCACTATTCCTGGCTAGTGCGTATTGCGAGCGACAACATCGTTCCATACGTTTGCAACATACTTCCAACCAGACGGACCGGACGACCGTCCGGTCCGGTCCGCTTTGCCGCGTGCGGCACCCTCCCCCCGGACCGGACGGACCCAAACCGGACCGGACGGGAGCGTTGTTTTTTTTTTTTTTTTTTTTTTTTTTTTTTTTTTTTTTTT